ACGAGCGGGTGCTGGTCATCAGCGGCGAGCGGACGAGGGAGGAGAAGGAAGATGGCCAGGCGAGGGAGGTGCACGTCGGCGAGAAGTAGGGGAGCCTGAGCGTGTAGGACTGCTGCACCGACGACGCCCCCGCCGCAGACGACCACACGGCGCACCGAACCCGCCGCCGTTGGGCTGTCGCCGGCCTCGCGTCATTGTCCAACCACACGCGCAAGAAGATGGCCATGCACGACTATATCGAGTTGCTGGGGTACTCTGTCGACGAGCTCGGGTGGTCGCTTGATGCCATGGTAGAGCCAGTCAACAACACGAAGGGGGAGATGGAGAACCAGCACGGTGCAGCGTCCGGGGGCGTCTGGGGCGACGTGCGCCAAGGACGGCCTGCACGCCTCGCCGCAGCGTTGCATGTGCGTCGCGTGCCCCGCCCTGGCCGCCGCGCTCGCCCCGCCTCACCGCTGGCCGCCGCCAGTTGTGCCCGTGCTCGCCCGCCGGTGCGTAGCTCGTGGCCGGGGCTGCCTGTAGCCTCCACACTCGGGCCCGGCGAGGAGGCCGAGAGAGGCGTGGACGTGGAGGAGGCGCCCAGCGCGTCCGGTGCCACCGAGTACTGCCGCTGCTGCTTCTTGACCTTCCGTGGTGAGGCAGGACCTGGCCTGCGCAACCGCTTCCTTCCTAGACGCCGGTGGCGAGGGAATGTTGTCCGTGGGTGTCGGGGACGGCGTCGACGAGGACTGGACGCGCCGCGGCGGCTGACTGCGGAGGAGGGCGAGCTGGAGAGGAGGTACGCGCGGCGACGGGAGGAGGAAAAGTGGGGATAGATAGAAACGAAAAGGTGGGGAGAGAAAGACGAAAAGGTGGGGGAAAGGAGATATCTCACTGCATGTGGGGCAGCGCCTGCAAAACGGTGAAGTTAGCCCCCCGCAGGTGCCCCCCAGCTCCCTGATTTTGCGTTGGGGTTGCTAGCGCCAGTTTTTGCTTCATCCGGCAAAAAAGGCGACTTTGGAGGCACGAGTGGGAGAATTTTTGTCCGCCGACGCGAAAAAAAGTGATTGGAGGGGCTTGTGGCGGGCCGGCTGGAGATGTTCTTAGCGTTGTGCTCAACAAAATACCAAAAGGAAAACACGAACTTCTTTTTGAAATTCCGGACAGGAAGGAGAACGGTTCGTAGTAGGAGTACGTACTACTCCCGAGTAGTCCTGGCCATCTCAGGCCCGGCCCTGTCGGCCCACCCAGGCCCGACCCTAAAATCCAGGGCCTAGGCCCAATGGGCTTGCCCATGGGCCGGGCTTGGGCCTAAGTTTTGAGCCCATCAGTAGGGCCTGGATGGGCTTGGGCTTGGCATATTGGCATTTGAAGAAAGAGGCCCGACCCACGGCCCTAAGCCCTAAGGGCTTTTTAGGGCTTTTTACCAGATGGGCCGGGCTTGGGCTTGAAAAGTAGCCCAGTGATAGGGCCTGGGAGGGCATGGGCCTCAGTTTTCTGCCGTGGGCTTTTTCAGGCCCAGCCCAAGCCCGGCCCGGCCCATGGCCAGATATACTCCCGAGTCGTCCCCACGGGAGCCTCGGTCAGCTCGGACCTCGGACCCCCTCATTCTGGAGATATACAGTCAGGCCACAAGCCAGCGAATAAATCACTCAAAATCAACTATATATTTCAGCAAAGGGGTGCCAGACAGTGTTAGGCAGGAGATCAAGACTTTGCTTAATGTGCCAAATGAAACTTTGAATGAAAAATATTTGGGGATGCCATCGGATATAGGAAGCTCAAAAACGGGGCCTTCAAATATCTTAAGGACCGTCTTTGGAGCAAGGTACAGGGCTGGATTGAGATGACCCTGTCAACTGCTGGAAAGGAGGTGTTAGTTAAATCTGTCGCTCAAGCTGTGCCTGTCTTTTCCATGTCCTGCTTTAAGCTGCCTAGAGGACTATGTGAGCACTTAAATATGCTGATACGCAAATTCTGGTGGGGGAGTAAGGAAGGTAAACGTAAACCACACTGGGTGTCCTGGGAAGCAATGACAAAACCAAAATGTATGGGTGGCCTAGGTTTTAAGGACTTTGAGTTATTTAACCTTGCCATGCTAGCTAAGCAGGCCTGGCGCATGTTGGAATCCCCTGACTCACTGAATGCTAGGCTGCTGAAGAGCATATATTTTCCCCACTGTTCCATCCTTGAGGCAGAACTGGGAGGTCATCCTAGGCAAATTTGGAGAGCCATCATTGAAGGCCGGGATATTATGAAGCAAGGTATTATAAGGAGAATAGGCAATGGACAGTCTACCAGAATTTGGGAGGATAATTGGCTCCCAAGGAGTGAGATGCTGAAGTCATATGGATGTTTAATTCAAAACCCACCAGAGCTAGTTTCTGAGCTAATTGATCCCACAACGGCAACTTGGAACAAGCACTTGGTGGAGCAAATCTTTCTGCCGATGGATGCGAAGGTTATTCTGTCAATCCCCTTGTGTACTCGGAATATGTCGGACTTCTGGGGCTGGCATTTTGAACGACGAGGGACGTTCTCTGTCAAGTCTGCCTATAACATGCTCGTGGATACAAAAACTCGTCGAGAAGCTTGGCTCAATGGAGGCGTTGGCTCCTCCAGCGATAATGGAGAACAAAAGGCATGGACTTACCTATGGAAAACAGCTGTATCGGGGAAGGTCAGAATGTTTTTGTGGAGACTGTCGAAGCAATCTTTGCCAACGGAAGATATTAGAGCTCATAGACACATGTTAGATTCCTCTACATGCGGACTTTGTGGCGCGCCAGACTCATGGAGACACTCCTTGCTGGACCGCAACATGGCACGATGCACTTGGGCATTGGCAGATGAGGACCTAGTACATAAAATGTCAACAGCAGCCGAGCTTAATGCTAAGTGCTGGCTGTTTAACATGATGGAGGAACTTCCACATAATCTGTTTGTCACTCTGGCAGTAACGCTATGGGCGCTATGGTCTGCAAGGAGGAAAGCAATTCATGAGGGAGTCTTCCAAAGCCCTCAATCAATCCATGCGTTCGTCGCCAGGTTTATAAGCGAGCTCGAGATGATCAAGGAGAAGGCGCCACAGCCGAGACAACTTAATGGAGCAGTTGGGGCCCGAATGCTACGTCCCAAAGCGCCTCCAGAAGGTTTTGCAAAGGTACATGTTGATGCAGGAGTGCGCAGAGGAAGAGGTGGTGCTGCCGCGACAGTTTGCCGGGATGATCGAGGTACCTACCTGGGCAGTTCTTCACTAGTTGTGTGTGTAGTAGATGACCCTGCAGCCCTTGAAGCTATGGCATGCAGAGAAGCTCTTGCATTGGCGCATGACCTCAACCTACACCAAGTGGTCATTGCTTCGGATGCTAAGCAGGTTGTGAACAAGATCAATACTTCATCAAAGGGAGCGTACGGAGCAATCATTTCTGAGATCAAGGCCTACTCTAGTTTATTTCAGTGTAATTTTACTTTTGAAAGTCGAAAAGTGAACTTAGAAGCTCATAAGTTAGCCAAGCATTCCCTTTCGTTGGGGCCGGGACCCCATGTCTCGTATGGCCAATCCCATAACCCAAATTGTATCCCACACTGTGGATTATGAATAAAAAGCTTGGTTTGTCTAAAAAAAAAAGCTCGGACGTCGGACCCAGAGCGGTCAATTCGAACCGGTGGGTGGCGGCACACCTGCTCCGCCATTGGTACGACTTTGATGGAGCACGAGGCAGAGCCAGCCAAGGCTGCACACCAAAAGGCGTCATCGTCACTCCTCTTGCCTCCTCCTGACCGCCTCTGCCAGCACGCGCTTTTTAGGCCTCCTCGTCCCTCCCGTCCCCTCGTCTCCCTGTCCCGCTTCTCGGTTCCGCTCCGACGTCAGATCCGGATGGATCCGCCGCCGCCCGCGGCGAGCCCGCCGTCGAGCCCCCCGCACGGCTCCACGGCCCGGGACGCGTCGGAGGAGCCGGGCGCCCCTGCCACCGCCGGCGCCGCGTCGTCCAAGGGAGCTCCCGTCACAGGTACGACTCGGCGCGGCCGATAGGAGGAGGGTTTTGTGAAAATTTTCGTTTCACAAGACGCCGCGTTAATCTGCTGTATTGCGCTCCAGGTCTCATCGTTGTCCTAGATAAACGAGTAATTCGATTAGTTCGAACAAGTCGGCCGACATTTGTGAAGCCGTGCAAGCTTCTGATTTTTTTTTTAATTTCTGTAGCGGGACGAGCGTACAGTTTTGTTTTTCCTGTTTTCCTTTCTTGTTTCGTAGGATAATAGCCTTTCTGTTTTTGCTGTTGCTCTGTTTTTTTTAGCTGGCGATCAGCTAGACATCTCCTTCAGTTATCAGCCACAACCAGAAAACCTACTGACAGAAATACAGAAACTTAACAACGTTACACGACTTCACAGATGTTAGCTAGGATCAATGATCCCCGGAGCAGCGATACCCCAGATTAACACTGTGTGCTGTAAAACGAAAGTGGTCAGACATGAGACGAGAACTTTTATTTTCATCCAGCCTAATATCTTCTAATAGTACAAAACGACATAGAACAAAAAAAAAGGGCATGCCGGTTGTTTACTTGTATTGTGATATATATATTTTTTTACTTAAGCTTCAACCTCGGATCGGGGAATTTTAGATTTAATAATAGTTGAGTAAGAACAGGCTCATTCCATTGCTCTTAATTTGCAGACACCACTGACGGTACACAAGCTGATGCTCAAGGACGCCTACATGACACAGCTATTAGCAATCCGGAGAATGGCACCGAAGCCGCTATTTCAGTTCGAGAAGATTCACCCCGGAATTCAGAAGCACATTTGGGTGATAGTTCAGTGCAGACCACCTCCAAGCAGGCAGCAAACTCGGATGGTACAAGGAAGAGGAATTTTCAGCCTGGAAATAAAGAGGCAGCACATGTTCCTAGTGCTGGCAGCAAATCTCACGCACGTGAGATCTCTGTGGTAGAAACCAAAGATGCAAGGAGCAAGTTCTTGAAGAAATCCGATGTAAGTTGCTTTCATAATAATTGCAGCATACCAGGAAGTGGGAAGTACTAGTGTTAATAGCCCCTTGAAATGCTAATGTTAATTGATTTTCAGAATGAAGATCCAGCATGCGAAGACAGGAAGAATGCCGATTTGGCAGGGATCTCGGAAGAATTGAAGGAAAACAATAACAGATCTTCTCTTAACTCCAGCAGCTTGAAGGATGAGAAGAAGCAAAAGAATAGAAGCAGAGGAAAAGAGAATAGCAATCATGTTCATAACACAAGCACTTCACATGATATTTCTTTGCCAACTAGCACTGGTACCTCTTGTTTGACGTCGATGGTTACTGAGAACAACACAGAAGCTCCTAAATGCATGGGTTTGAGACTAAAGAAAAATCCAGATGAGGTATCCCTGACAAACTCATTCACAGCTGTTAATGCAGATACCACAGATAGGGAAATTTTGAATGTAGACAGTACCATTCAAAAGAACTGTGATGAAGTTCTGCCTGGTTCACTTAAAGAGAAAGAAACTGAGAATGTTGCAACATCCTTGGGTTCATGTGTGCTTGACTCCAACCAACTGGCAAGCAGTAATGTGTCTCTGATGCCACTTCAAGGTGTTATAGTTGATGCAGATGTGAAGACCAACTGCCTACATTCATCAACTGAAGAAAAAGTTCATCCGAGTGCAGTTAGTGAAGATGTTACCAAACATTCTGATCTTGTTTCCCAGCTTAACATCGCAGAAGAGCACAAGAATTTCGGGTCTGGTAAACATATGAGAGAAGCTGTTCTTCATACATCAGTTAATAGTGCTGGAATAGGAAAGGTCTTACCATCTGAAAATCAGAAGAACCAGTCGTATCCATTCAATGAAGGCGCAAACTTCTTTCAGAGAGGAAACACAGACCGTAACTTCAGGGCAGATGTTCATCACCGTAGGAACATCTACGGATCAGGAGGCATGGGGAATTCAGAGTATGAATTTCAGAGGAACCAGTCACATCCATTCAGTGAAGGTGGAAACTTCTTTCCGCTAGGAAGGGAAGACCCTAACTTAAGGGCAGGTGTTCATCACAGTATGGACATGTATGGATTAGGAGGCATGGGGAATCCAGAGCATGGGTTGCAGAGGAACCGGTCGTATTCATTCAATGAAGGTGCAGACTTCTTTCAGTCAAGAAGGGCTGACCCTAACTTTAGGGCAGGTGTTCATCACAGTATGAACATCTATGGATCAGGCGCCATGGGGCATTCGGAGCATGGATTTCAGAGGAACCAGTCGTATCCATTCGACGAACGTGCAA